GCGGAAGCTTGTCGTGATAGCTTAGCAGAACTGAATAATTATGTACCAGTTAAATCTTACACTGGTCAACTGACTGAAGAGTTCATTAAAACCTTTCAAGTTGTAGTTTTGACTAACACATCTCTTGAAAATCAAGAACGTATTTCTGAAATTACCCACAATAATGATATTGCATTAATAATTGCAGATACTCGTGGATTGTTTTCACAATTGTTTTGTGATTTTGGTAATAATTTTACTGTGTATGACACAAATGGGGAAAACCCTTTATCAGCCATGATTGCTGACATATCTCATGATTCTGAAGGGGTTGTCACTTGTCTCGAAGAAAACAGACATGGATTTGAAGATGGTGACTATGTTACATTTACAGAAATAAGAGGTATGGAGGAATTGAATGACTGCAAGCCTATTAAAATAAAAGTCTTGGGTCCATATACTTTCAGTATTGGTGACACATCCAAATATTCTAAGTATATTCAAGGAGGATTAGTATCACAAGTTAAAATGCCAAAAATTTTAAATTTCAAATCATTTAAAGAAGCTATTGCACAACCTCAAGTTTTAATTACAGATTTTGCTAAATTTGATCACCCTAACCAGTCACATTTGGCATTTTTTGCTCTTCATCAATTTAAAAAAATGAAAAACTCTTTTCCTAGACCATGGAATCAGGAAGATGCAAATGAATTTGTTGAAATAGCTAAATCTTTGCAAATGTTAGAAGAGTCAAGAATTAATGTGGAATTGCTACAATTGTTTTCTAAAATATGTGCCGGTGAAGTTTGTCCAATGAATGGAGCTGTTGGAGGTATTGCAGCTCAGGAAGTAATGAAAGCATGTAGTGGAAAATTTCATCCTATTCAACAATGGCTTTATTTTGATGCAATCGAATGTTTACCTAAAAATGCATCAATACCTGAAAGTTCTGTTAAGCCTAAAAATAGTAGATATGATGCTCAAGTGGCAGTTTTTGGACAGCAGTTTCAAGAAACTTTAGGAAAATTAAAATATTTTGTCGTCGGAGCTGGAGCCATTGGATGTGAATTACTGAAAAATTTTGCAATGATGGGTGTTGGTTGCACAACCGGAAAGGTTATCGTGACTGATATGGATTTAATTGAAAAGTCTAATTTAAATAGACAATTTTTATTCAGACCCCATGATGTCCAGCGACCTAAATCCACTGTAGCTGCCAAAGCGATTAAAAAAATGAACCCAACTGTAAACATTATTTCTCATGAAAATAGAGTTGGGGTAGAAACAGAAAAAACATATGATGATGCCTTTTTCGATGGATTGGATGGAGTTGCCAATGCTTTAGATAATGTCGATGCTCGTGTTTACATGGACAGAAGATGTGTTTACTACAGAAAGCCCTTGTTAGAATCTGGAACCTTGGGTACAAAAGGAAATACTCAAGTAGTTGTACCGTTTCTTACCGAATCTTACAGTTCGTCACAAGATCCGCCAGAAAAATCTATACCTATTTGCACCCTTAAGAATTTTCCCAATGCTATTGAACACACTCTTCAATGGGCCAGGGATGCTTTTGAAGGATTATTTAAACAACTTCCAGAAAATGCATCTCAGTATCTTACGGATCCAATGTTCATAGAAAGAACATTAAAATTACAAGGAATACAGCCTTTGGAAGTTCTCGAATCGGTTAAGCAAGCATTAATCGATGACAGACCGAAAAATTTACAAGAATGCGTAGCTTGGGCTCGAAATCATTGGCAGGAACAATACAATAACCAAATAAGGCAATTGTTATTTAATTTTCCTCCTAATCAAGTCACTTCAAGTGGCCAATTGTTTTGGTCCGGACCAAAACGATGTCCAGAACCTCTCCAATTCGATTCTCAAAATCCACTTCATATTGATTATATTCTCGCGGCAGCTAACTTGAAAGCAAGCATATACGGAATCCCGCAGAATAGAGATCGAAAAGCTATAAAGGAAATGGTGGATAAAGTTGTAGTGCCAGAGTTTACTCCCAGATCTGGTATAACGATCGCCGAAACGGATTCTCAATTGCAAGTATCCAACGGAAACGATATAAACACGGATCGATTGAGATTATTACAACAAGAGCTGCCTTCTCGCGAAGAATTAAGTGGCCTTATAATAAATCCGATTGAATTTGAAAAAGATGATGACACGAATTTACACATGGATTTCATTGTGGCTGCATCAAACTTGAGAGCTGCCAATTACAAAATCCCACCCGCCGACCGACATAAGAGTAAATTCATAGCTGGAAAAATTATTCCAGCCATAGCAACCACAACATCTGTCGTTGCCGGACTCGTTTGTCTCGAGCTTTACAAATTGGCTCAAGGATTTAAACAATTGGATGTTTACAAAAACGGATTCGTCAATTTGGCTCTCCCGTTTTTCGCATTTTCCGAACCGATTCCAGCTCCAAAGAAAAAATACTACGACACGGAATGGACCTTGTGGGATCGATTCGAAATAGAGGGAGAAATCACACTCCAAGAATTTCTCGATTATTTCAAAGAAAAATTCGGTTTGGAAATAACAATGTTGTCTCAAGGAGTTTGTTTGCTTTACTCATTTTTCATGGCCGCATCGAAAATGCAAGAGAGATTGAATTTAAACATGTCGGAGGTGGTTAGAAAAGTGTCGAAGAAAAAATTGGAGCCCCACGTAAAGGCGTTAGTGTTTGAACTTTGTTGCAACGATAAAAACGGAGAAGACGTTGAAATACCATATGTTCGTTATACCTTACCCAACTAACGAAAAAGTTTAGTAGTGAGGGTAATAAATAATTTATTATTATTAATAATTACTGTTGTTCACGAATGACATAACCAAATAGTAATGGAAGAAAGAAAGAAAGAAAGAAAAAAAAAAAATAAATAAATAAAATAAATAAAAAAAAACAAAGAAAAAAAAAAAAAGTGTTTTTGTGTAATATGTGTATGAATTCCGCTTTTAATAATAATAATAATAATTAATTAATTGATTGATTGATTGATTCAAGCAAACAAAAAAAAAAAAAAAAACACGAAAGAATACAAAAAATATTTAAATCAAATTTCGTTAGTGTTAGAATTCAAATGATAAAAATTTTAAATGCTTGTGAGTAATTTAAATAATATTATGTATTTTATAGTTTACATAAAAAAAAGAAAAGAAAGAAAAGCATTATTTACAGTAAAAAAGTAAAAAAAATAATTTTTAGTTGACCGTAAAAATTTTTTATTTAAATATCAAAGCTTTGAATTATAATATATAATTAATTTCTTTTTGTTTTTTTTTTTTTATTATTAATTGCTCATGCTTTAATATGAATTAATTTTTTTCTTTTTTCTTTTTTTTTTTATGAATAAAAGTTGTTGTGCGAAAATAAAAATAAATAAAAAAAAGTACCCGGTTTTTTTTCGAATTTTACTATACGTGAAATTTAAATTTCCTATTAGAAAAATTATCCATTTATTCAAAATTAAAAAATATTTATGAATAACTTTATTTAATTTGTAGTTGGTGTGTAATTTTTTTTGTTTTTTTTTTTTTTAATTTTTCAAATGTAATAAATTTTGTTTAAAAAAATATATTATTAATTTTTATGTAAATTACATGATGAGTCTTTTTTTTTTTAAAAGTCTAAATAATGAGGGGATCATTTTCAATTTTTTTTTAAACACACTTTATGGGAACTTGCAATGCTAATTATTAATTACTATATCAAAATTTAAATTAATGCCAAGTTCAAAATGTCATTTTTAGTGTAAAAAATGTTTTCGGACTTTAACTTACGCATGAATTTTGCAAAAATTAAATTTAATTACATGATATTTCATAAGACTGACTAAAAGAACATGGTAACAAAAATTTCAATAATAATTTTGGCTCACATTTTGTTTTTCAAAAAAAATTAAGTTGGCAACATTGACAAAATTTCGACGGTTAAAATTTTTAAAATAAAAATAATAAAAAAATGTGCAACTTTGGTTTTAATTTTATGATATATTCGTTAAAAAGAGATTTTTCAAAGTTTGTATATTTTTAAAAACATTTGCTTAAACTTAAAAGTTTTCATTAAGTTCTTTCTTTAAAAATAATAATAATAGGATTACTTAATTATTAAAAAAAAAAGTGTAAACACGTTAAATAAATTAGAGCAACGTTGTAATCTATGTTCTAAATTTACTTTATATAAATCATCTACTATTATTATTATTGCATTGCTTTAATAATTACCCTTTTTTCCAATTAAATAAAGTTATTAAAAAAAGAAACATTGTACTGAACGATATTTATTTATTTATTTCATTTTTTTTCAATTATGATGTAAAAAATTTTAATAACCTGCCCTTTGCCTTTGCCTTTGCTTTGCTTTGCTTCTTTTTTGTCAAAAATTTTACAAATATTAGTTTAATAGTTTAAAAAAAAGAATGTAAGTTTTTAAATGAGGGAATTTTGTATGAAAATATAAAAAATTTAATTAATTTAAAATGTTTTTTTTTTTTTTATAGGATAATGGAAGACAACATATCTGAAAAAGTTGCTCAGTTACAGTATGAAAATACAAAATTACAAAATGAACTTAGTACATTAAGTAAAAATGCTTTAACAATAGAAGAAAATTATAATGCTTTGACTGCAGTCTTTTCAGAAAAAGAATATTCATTAAAAAAGTTTGTTATAATTTATTATCATGGCTTTATTATCCTTAACTGTGTCCATTTAATAAGTGTTATTAATATTTTTTTTACCTTTGAGTTTTCCCTCACTAAACCATTATTATTTAATGTTTTGTTTGTTTTTTGTTTTATAGTTTAGAATTACAAATAAACAAAATGTTTAAAATCATAAAAGAAAAAGAAAATATTATTGAACAACTTGAAGAAACCAATACAAAATACATTGATGCTAATAAAAAATTAACATCTGAAACAAAATATTTGAAAAAAAAATTATGTGAAGAAGAAAATTTATTTGAAACAAAAAAAGAAGGACTCATGATGAATTGTGATGTGTTAAAAAAAGAAAATAAAAAATTACAATTTGAACTCAATTTGAAAACAGAAGAATGTTTACATTTGAATACAATAACAAAAGATTTTATGATTACAATCAAGGCAGGTTTGAATTTTTTATTTAAATTTCTATTTCATTATTATTATTATTAATATCATTTACTTTAATAGTATTCTAATAATTTTTTTTGTAATTAAATTGTTTTATAATTTTTGAAAATACATTATTGATGATGACCATGTGACAAATGATTAATTTATAATGGAACTCATTCTATCATCAAAAATAATAATAATAATAATGTGTATTAACATAAATTATTTTTTCCTTTTAGAATCTTGAAGATGAAAAATCAGAATTAATAGCTTTGAGAGACAATTTGATTGATACATTAAAATGTTATCAACCTAAAAAAATTGAAATTTTTGAGGTATAAGCTTTTAAGGTTATAAATTTAAAATTTTTGTTATGATTATCAAGTGACAAGTTTATACCTGAACATAAACAAATCAATTGATAATGTTTAACAGAACCATTTTGCATTTTTTAAAATTATTACTTATGAAACAATATAATTAAGTAAATATTATTAATTTTAAATTTAATTTATTTAGAAATCTATACACGAAAACGAAGATACGATTTTTAATAATTTATACAGTGTTGAAGATGAAATATTATCTAATGATCAACAAAATTTAAGTCTTCAAGAAGAATTGTTTGAAGCCAAGGTATATATAAATTATTTATTTGATAAAATAATCTAAAAAAATTTTCACATCATCTAATATTTTACACTTTATCAAAACAAAAACAAAAGGATTCAAACTCAAATTTTGTAAACTTTTTAATTTTTAGTTCAAAGAAAAAGATGTTTTGATAAAAGAACTACAGAATTATAAATTATTTAAAGAAGAAGAAGATGTTCAATTATTTAATTTAATAAATAAATTAAAAGATAAAATGAATAAAATTGAAATATTAAAAAGTGATAATAAAATTTCAATGAATTTTAATTATTTTTGTTTAAAAGAAATAAAAAAAATTTTAATGGAACTAATTGACTGGTAAGTTTACAAAAAATTAATTTCTTTTTTTTTTGTAAAGTAAAATCATAAAAAGGTGTTAAATCTCCTCGTTTAAAGGAAAAACACTTGACTATAACAGTATTTGTTATTTTTCATGACCTACTCAATAATTTTCCAAAAAAACATTTTTTTTTGTGTGTGTGAAAAATCGAATGGCATATACCGTGTGACGTCATTTTTCATAACAATCCTTTTTATTAATGAATTAAAATTCAATTATTTTAATAATATTATTTGCATTATTTAATTATTATCGAATAATAATTATTTATCTTTTTAGTGGGATCTATATATATATAAATAATTAGTTTAATGTACGTTTGCAATTTTTTTTTGTATAAAAAGAAAAGGTTTGTAAATTTTTAATAAGGTTAATCATTGATAGAAACGCGCAGAATTAAAAAGGCTGCGCTTGAAAGAGATGAAAAAAAGTAACAACGACGATGGGTTAGTCAATTGAATGTTTTTATTGAGAACTTTTCATTTTTATTTATTCATCAATTTGGGGGGATTCTGTGAGTGTGTGTGTTTTCTCGGGTGTGGTTTATATATTTTTATTTAAAAAAAAAAAAGAAAATTATTTTAATGACACATATTAAATAAGTCTTTTAAAAATCTCATTTTATTTGTTAGAGAACGTGTCATAAAAATTTGCTATTTGAAATGAAAATATAAAGAATATAATTTCAGTGTTTAGGTTTAATTATTATTATTATTACATTTATTAACCTGATTTATGTAGTCTATGATCAATATTTTCTTATAAAAACTTTCTTTTTATTAATAAAAATGTAATTATTTTAATTTCGTGGAATGAAAAAATGATTTTTTTTTAAATAACATGATTAATTATATATTTTACACGACGTTAAGTTTAAAAACACAAAATCCTCTCGAAATTTCAAAATTTATTTTTTTTTAAATAATGTGATTTTATAGTTGTAAAGTTAAACAAAACAAAATAAAAAAAAAAATGGATCATTTATATGAGTTTTTTACGTTAAATTATTAGATTAGTTTTAATGGGATGGGAAATTGCCTTTCCATTAGTTTTAAAAGGTTAGAAAATTAAAATTTGAATCGTTATGGAAAAATTGTACATTTATTTATCTATCACACGTGGTTAATTTTGTTTTTAATAATTACGATTTAAAAAAATAAGGTTTTTTCTCTCCACAGGCAAGATAATCATGCAGAAAAATTAAAATCCATTAAAGAAGCTGTTTCTCACGTGTCTTTAAATAAAGATGAAATCATACAAGTCAACCCTTATCGAATACTAACGTGGAAACTTACAGCATCGCATGCCAAACCGATCCAATAACAACATTTCACCAATTTTACCATACAAGACCACATTCCAGGTAAAAATTAACACAATATTTCGATAATAATACTATTATTATTATTATATTTCGACTCATTTCTAAAAAAAAATTGTTTTTTCTAGAAAAGTCAATCGACAAATACAATTTTCTCCCTCGAATCAGATGACGAATGTCAATTTTTACGTCGTTTAAAAGATTTAGAATCCAATGATGTACGACGTGTATTTTTCGATCATAAAATTTCGGATTTGGATATGGATGTCTTCAGGTAAGTTGATAATAATAATAATAATAATAATATTTAATCTAAACGAACGCAAAACAATTATTAAGACGGTTTGCCAAATCTTCAGAAAAAAGAGAGAGAGAGACAAAATGGTGGATTTCTTTTGAATTGGTTTTTTTAACAGGTCTTGCCGGAAGCTTTCTGTGCTTCCAGAGGAAGATGGCGATGATTCTTTTGTTAGGAAAACCTCTGTAAAAAGTTTTTGCAAACCAATTCTTAATAATTTAAAATCGGAAATCGGTTCGGGACTGACATCCTCAGACGATGCTTTTTTAAATAAAATTAAAGAATCTAATTTTCCATCGATAACGGAAAAATACGGTCAAAACGTTTCAATAAATAATTTCAATAACGACAAATCGAAAAATTTAAATATTTGTACGGATTTTGAATTTCGCGATAACGAAATGGACGACGACGACGACGTAACGGTTTTTTCTACTTCTGACGCGTATTTATATTTGCCCTCTATCGACGATTCGATAAAATATTCTAAAAATCAAAATTTATGGAAAGGTTTTCCGAACGGTACGAAAAAAAAACAATCGGTTTCATTTTTTCACAAAAGCGAAAACGTGAGTAAAAAATTACAATCAACGAGTCGACCGTTGATGCTTTCAAAATCCTCCAGTGTTGCCAACGTCGTTACAACCGTGGTTCCCGATTACAATGTTAGTTTAATAATTGACGATCCCGAATTGAAAAAAAAACAAACAAAACCCTTGATCGTCCCGGATAATTTATTATCATTGAAAACAAATCATTCCTTGGCTCAAATAAATTTTCTACGGGATTCATTCGCGATTGAAAACATTCAAAATAATAATAATAATAATAATAATAATAATTCAACGTTAAATTTAATCGAAAACATTCAATTCGTTTGCACGGCAATTGATTTGTGTTCGAAAACGGATGAAAATTTAACACGGGATAGTTTGAAAACGTTCGATCAATTTCTCGAAAGTTCCTCCGGTAATAATAATAATAATAATGATGATGATGATGAGAATGTAAACAATAACGGATTATCCGAATCTTTGAAATTTTTTACAAATAATAACGAAATAATATTCGTAAAACAACAAGACGTGGACAATAATAATAAATCCACGGATATAATTCACGGTGCCATTAATTTAAATATTTGTCCGACGGTTATAAAAGACGGTTTAAAAACGAATTCCGTTGTGCTTCCTCAAAATAATAATAATAATAATAATAATAATATTTTTGAATTGAAACCTTCTTCATCTTCGATTAACGTTACCGATAATAAAAAAAAAATTATTTACCTCGAATTAAACGATTCATCATCATCATCATCATCCGTTATTAAAAATACAAAAACAAATTTATTTGATTTCGTAACGAATAAAATCTCAAATAAAAAATCTCAAATGGAAAACGAATTGAATTCGATTTTAAAAATAACGGAAAAATACAAAAACGATAATAATAATATGGAAGGCGGTGGTGGAGGAGGCGGTTGTAACCACGTTCAATCGTGCGAATTACGTTTATCGTCCGTTTCCGGTTTGGATAATTTTCTCGTGTGTGTACCCGAGGGTTTAGATTCGAGGGAAAAAAGAAAACTTTCGGATATTTCAGAAAGTTCGAGTTCTTCGTACACGACGCCGCCACAGGAAATAAGTTCTGGAGAATTTTGCACTCCTCCAGAATGTTGTTCTCCCGTTTTAAATAATCTCGTTAAAAATAAAAAAACGACATCACTCGCCGCGTGTGAAAATATCGATAATTATTATTATTAATTGAAAGGAAACGAAGAAAATTCTAGAATATTTTAATTTTTTTTTTTTGAATTTAAACTCGTAATAAGTAAGACTACTCGTAACAAGCTGCCTGTTATTTATAAATAGAATAAAAACGAAGGGCCTTTGACCTTTTTATAGATATATATATATATTATTATATTATTAAATTATTTTTATTTAAATATATATAATAAAATTTAATTTAATTTAGGTAAATGCTAAAAATCAGGAAAAAGACTTGAAAATTTTTTTTTATTATTTAATAAAAAAAAAAATAAACGTAGTCAGAAGGAAGGAATTTAAATAAATAAATAAATAAATGTTGCCAAATAAATTTACGAATAATAATAATAATAATAATAATAATTTTAAATAATTTTTTAGACGGTGAAAATTCTTTGTCTTCTTTCCACTTATTAATGTATATATAAATAAATAATTTTAATTGAAAATTTTTAAAATGATTATGATGACGTTGAAGGGAGGAGGAGTAGGAGGAGGACAGGGTACGAGACGGGGGAGGGGAAAGGGGGCGAGGGGGAGGGGCCTGGAAAAGTGTGAAAAACAATACGATGAGAAACTTACACTTCACTTTCAACCTTATAATATTAAATTGTTATAGATAGACGGCCTTGGTAGTTTTTAATAATAATAATAATAATTTGCCTTGTTAATTTAAAAAATTTTTAATAATAATAATAATAATATTCTATTGAACGTATTTCCAGAAAAAAAAAAAAAAAATTTTTTTTGTTGCGATTTTTAAATGTGTTTATGACGTCATCACGTATAGAAATTGTAATGATGCGACTGATTGAAAAGGTTTTTCCGTACCACACACGTGTCGTACCTGATTTTTTTCTCTTTTTTTGTTTGTTTTCGCGTCGGAAAATCTACTTTTTTACGTAAATTTTCCAATTTATTTATTTATTAAAAAAAAAAAAAAAAACCGTCCCGTTAAATTTTTCTTATATGTTATAAAAGTGATCATTATTATTATTGTTTTTTTTTTTTTAAATAATTTTTTGTCTTTAATATTGAATTTATATTTATTTATTTATTATTATTATTATTATTATTATTGAATTTTTTAATATTTTTGTGAGTGTTTAAATTTTGAAGAGAGAAAGAGAGAGGGGAAGAGAGAGAGAGAGAAGAGAAATTTGTCAAGTTTTATAATAATAGCTTAATAACAACGATAGATGATTTTTTTTTTTTTTTTTCAAATAAATTATAGTTGGAGAAAAAAAATAAATACATAATACATAAATACATAATTTATTTAAATAATTATTATTATTATTTTAATTTTCCTTTGTTTGTTTTTTTTTTACACCTGGGAGACAAAAAAACCGTAAGTTGTACAAACCTATTACTACCTAATCATTTTTTATTTAAATTTATTTACTTTATTTATTTATTTATTTTTCAAATGAAAGGATAATTAATAATTATTATTATTATTATTATTAATATTTAACGAAACGTTACAGAAATGCAATAAAATACATCGGAAAAGAGGATTTATTCAAAACGAATTTGGAAAACGAGATAATGATGATAATTATGAAGAAAGAAGAGGAAAATTTTTCTTTTTCTTTTTCGTCAAATGTTTTTTTTTTTAATTTTGAAATAATAGATAAAATAAAAAATGACGTCGATAAAAAAATTATAAAATTAATTCAAAAAGGAATAAATGTAAGTTTTCACAGGAATAAAATAATAATAATAATAATAATTGGATTATTTCGGAAAGAAAATGAGAAATGGAAAGAAAAAAAAAAACAAATGAAATCGTTGATTAATTTTTTTAATCTTTTTTTTTTAGGATTTCCAATATTTTGAAGTTATAAATAATAATAATAATAATAATAATAATAATAATAATAATAATAATAATAATAATACTATTGATTATTATTTTAACGATTTGACAAATGTAAATAATTTATATTTAATAATATATAATGAATGGGGAAAAAATTATACGTTTATTAATTATATTTTTAAATTAATAAATAATTTAAATTATCGTGAAAATTATTTAAAATTATTTATGTACGATAATTATAAAAATAAATTTATTATTAAAAAAAATGTTATTAGGTAAAATTGTTTTATTTATTTATTTATTATTAATAAAACGTTACTAACGATATCTTCTTCTTTTAAATAATTAATAATTAATTAATTTGTTTACTAAAATGAAATAAATAAAATTTTATTATCATTATTATCTTTTTTCTTTTTTTTCTAATTTATTTAATTAACAATTATTTTTAAAGAAATTTTTTTATTTTTGTCTTATCAATGTTTACATTAATTATACAGTTATTATTATTATTATTATTACTTTTTTAAATTTATTTAATTTTTAGATTTTTAAAAGAGAAAAAAATTGATTTGGAAAAGGAAGAAGAAGAAGAAGAAGAAGAAAATGAAAGAAAAAAAAAAAAAAAGAAAATAATTTTTTTCCCCCATGGAATCCCATTGAATGATTTAAACGTGAATGAAAATATGGAGAAAAATAAAAAAAAATTTAAAAATTTAATGAGTAAATTATTAATAATTAATAACTCGAATGATAATTTTATTGATGATGATGATGATGATGATGATGATTATAATGATGATAAAGTTGACGTTGGAATGAAATATGAATCCAAAAGAAAAATAATTTTTTCTTATAATAATTTAAGGTAAAAATTTTTTTTTTTTTTATTCATTTGAACTATTAATTATTATTATTATTATTATTATTATTATTATAAATTAGTTAAATCGATTTGTAATTTTTTTAGGAAATTATTTATGACATCGAATTTAACTTGTGAAAAATTTCAAAGTTTAAAATTTCTTATTAAATTTTATCGTTTGTTAATATGGATATTTTTTTGCTTCTCTGGATTATTAATAACCGGAATCATTTCCTACGAGTAAGTTATAAATCACAAATAATAATAATAATAATAATAATTTTTTTTTAAGCATTATGAACTAAATAAGAGACATTTACTTTCATTTTAGAAATATTCCGATTGCTTGTGCCTTATTATTTTCCATCACACTGCTTATAAGTTTAACGAAAAGAAAATATTATAGATTTTTAATTATTTTTACCGTTGTACTTGGAGTACTGTCAATATTATTTTTTTGTTTGGTCAAATTTATTTTTAGAAATTTAACAGAAAATGAAATAAATAATTTATTCAATTCAATCGGTTTGGTATTAGAAATTCGGTATCTTCACGGACCTCCACCTGTTTGATAATGAAAATTTTTTTTTTCATTCCGTTCATATGTTTATTTCAATGTGAATTATTGACAAAACACTCGCTTTGATGATTGTAAGAGTGTAAATTTTTTTTTAATTTTTTTTTTTTCCTCTTTCAAAACTGTATGTATAAAACAAATGTGAGACTGTAACAAATTAACATTTTATGTATAATATTTATTTAATTTATGTAAGAGAAGATTATTTTTCTTTTTTTTAATTTTTACGTTAAAGTTTAATTTTAGTGTCATTTACTTTAAAAAAAAAAAAAAGAATACTTATTTATTAATTTATTTATTAGAAAGACATATTTATTTATTTAATTATTGTTATTTCATGTATTTATATATAAAAAAAAAAAAAATTAAATTTATTTTCAATTGTTTATTATTTAAAAAAAAAAAAAAACTGAAAACTGAAACTTGTAATAGGTTTACTAGAAATCTCAACTTTAATAAAATTTATTGTAAATAAATAATAAAGATTATGTTATCATGAAAAATAAATTATTTTTTTTCCGTTAAAATTATGATTATTATTATTTTAAAATTAAAATTATTAAATATTTTACTTTCATCAAATGAAATTTGTGGGTTAATAAATCACAATTTTAATTTTTTTTTTTAAAGAAAAAATAATCATTTTTTCATTTTACCTGTCCGTTTCCTAATTGAAAATTTAATTTGAATCTTTCAAATGTATCTAAATTTAATTTTAATTTAATAAAAATAACTAAATTACCAAATAAATTTAATTTTATTTAAAAAGAAATGAAAATAGATATCACGGACTTTAAGAGAAAAAAAAAAAAAATTGTAAATAATGTTTAAGTTGGTAACACTGCGCGCTTTACATTCACTTTTGATTTTAATCATTTAAAATGAGCGATTCTTCAGAAGGTTCGAATGAAAAAGATAAAGATTATTTTAGAAAATATGGATTTGATATGTACCCGAGTAGACGATCTAAAGAAACAAATAGTTTTTGGTACAAATTATCATTTGACAACCGGTATAAATCTCATTGTAGCAAAGTGTGTGAAAAAAATGTTTTAAGCGCTATTAATGATAGTGAGTGATTTTTTTTTTCATTTTTAATATGCCGGCATTCTAATTGATAATAATAAGTTCTTTAATAAAAAAAAAAAAACCTTAACTAAATATTTTATAAAATAATGATGAATCGATTTTACACTTTTTTATTTTAATGTTACCAATATCTTATTTCACAGATCCTTTAATAAAATTATTAATGGGAGCATTAAAAAAAGCTGGATGTCCTGTAAATTTAAGGAGGCATATAGTATGCGAAGAATGTAGTACTTTAGTAACGGGGGGTTACGATCAAGAATTTAATCAAATAGTACTTTGTCAAAATACAATGAAAGGAAGACGTATGCCTGAAGTAACTTTAGTTCACGAACTAATTCACATGTACGATCATTGTACAAAAGAAATGGACCTAAAAAATTTGGAACATTTAGCATGTACTGAAATTAGAGCTGCCAATATTGCACATTGTAGTTTTTTGAGTAGTTTTTTCCTAGGAGGATCATCACTATTTTCTATAAAAGATACACATCAGGTTAGTTAAAACAAAATAAATCCCCTTTTCTGTGTGAATTCCAAATTTATAATTACACGACAAAAGGTTAAAAAATGTAATTGGTTTCAGTATTGTGTTAAAAAGAAAGCAGCTCAATCTCTAATGTTATCTAGAAACCTTGATTTTGATGTTGCTCTAATGATTGTATTAAGAGTTTTCGATAAATGTTACAATGATTTAGAGCCAGTAGGTAGAAGAATTAGAAGGAATTCAATGGATCCCGAAATGGCATATAATGAAGCTATTAGTTTGGGTTTTTGTGATAAGTAATCGTTAACATATACTCATTAAATGTTGAATCATTTAAAAAATCTATAGTAAATTTTTTATATAAATAATAAAAATTATATGAAAAATATAAATTTGTTTTTTTCAATATCATTTTGTTTTTTTGTTAATTATTTTTAATAACAACTACAGAAAATAATAATCGAAACTTTTTTTTTTTTTTTCGTTTTTACTCAAGACGAATAAATTAAAAATTTGTTTTCTATTTTAATAATTAAAGGTTGTCTAAATTAAATTTTTTTAATAGATTTTTTTAAATATTAATATATTAATTTTTTTAATTTTAAATTGATTATTAATAATAATAATATTTCAAACATATATTATATTTTTATTGGAATTTGAGAAACTTTAGAAATATTTATATATATAATTAAATAGAAAATATTGTTGAAAAATAGGAAGACTCCATATTATTATTAACACAATTAAAATTTATATTTAAATTATCCTCATTCATTTTTTTTTGTATCCAATTAAAATTTTTATAAAAAAAAAAAAAAAGTGAAATGTTTGGATTAAATTTATTATAAATAAATTTTTTTAATAAAAAAAAAAAAAAACAAAAAACTTGACATCAAATTTGTACCAAACTCTTGTAATAAAAAGACAAAAAAAAATTTTTTAATCTAAGATTGTCTTTATTGGGAAGCTTATAAATTAATCTCATTATTAAAATAATAATAATAATAATAATTTAAAACCATATAATACCTTACTTATACTCTTAATTAATAACAGCAAAATTAAATTTCAAAATCCTTTTCCTTTTTAAGATTATTATTTATTTAAAAAAAAAAAAAATTCATAGTTATTTGGGTAGGTAGGTAAGTAGGTACTACCTCTTACTAAAACACTCAAAAAGAAAAAATAATAATAATGATGATAAAAAGTAATAGGGGGTTAGAAAGCCCGCCTTCACCCCTCTAAATAATATTATATATATATAAAATTTTATTTTTTAGAATTAAACGATTATCATTAAAATTTTTTTACCAACATTTATTACATTTAATTATAAAATATTTATATATGACGTCATAATTATATTTTAATTCAAAACTAATTAAATTATTAATTAATTATGTAATTAATTTTCAAATATTTATTTGGACCTTTTGAAATTTTTATTTTAAAAAAAAAAAAAAAATTCCAGAATTATCCGTTAAATTTTATTTAAGTTTTTACTTATTATTATTATTATTATTATTAATATATTAATAAATAATTTCTTACTTTAATGTATTTATGTATGACTGTATAAGTATATACTTTAATATAAATATCAAGAAATCATTATATATTTTCTTAATGTTAATAATAGTTTTAGATAGTTATTATTATTATTATTATTGTTAGTTGTTTGAGAGCAACCGTTATTAATTCATTTTTTGCTAACGTTATATAAAAAAAGTTAAGATAAAATACAAGAATTACGTTTTGCATTTGACGTTTGTTTTTCTCTTATTTGTTCCAATTGTTGAAGTTGTATAAATGATGGTATAGCAGAAGAAGAATTTTGAGTACCCGAACCACCGTCACCTCTTCCGTTTCCGTTTGACGACGGAAGTGATTGCCTTCGTTTATTTCTCAACGCGGGACTTAAATTATATTTTCCCGTTGCTTGACTCAATAATTCTTTAAATATTTGCGATATATTTGTACCGTCTTTTGCAGATGCTTCAACGAAACGATTTTCCCAATCTACGGTCACCACCGATTCCGTCGTGTTAAAATCAACCTAATTAATATTAAAAAACCTAATCGTGACCTTCCTTAATACAATCTAATTCAATAATAATAATAATTTTTCTATCGAAACAACGAGTTTAAAAATGTCTTTTTACCTCTCTTTTCTTCTCTTCGAGATCCAATTTATTACCAACAACGACAATGGGAACGTTTGATGGTTTTTTTATATCCAAAATTTCATTTCTTATCGATTGAAGACTTTCAAATGTCGAAGAATCACAAATATCATAAACCAATATAAATGCATCAGCGTTCGATATTGAAAGATTTCTCATTGCTGGAAATTCATTTTCTCCAGATGTATCCAATATTTCAAGTGTTATGTGTATACCATTCACTTCAAAATCTCCATGATGCATTTCTTCAATCGTTCTTTTATATTTAGGAGAAAATGTTTTGTAAAGAAATTGTTGTATTATGGAAGATTTTCCAGTACGGGAAGGACCCATAACGACAATTTTATATTTTATATTATTGACCAGGGGTTCGCCATTTCCTCCGCTACTCGTTTCCGAAAATTCTCTTTCGAAATTTTTATCAGCTCGTCTGCATTATTATTATTATTATGCCATATTTATTTATTTATTTGTTATTAAAAAAAGTTAGTAAGAAAATAAATAATAATAATAAAACTTACCGTCCGTGTAAACGAGGTGATTTTTCTTCATTCGAATCATCTTTTGTAAAAGAAGGTTGAAGACTAAACCTTCTTTTAAATTGATGTCTTCCTTTCATTTTCCTCGGAAAATTTTTACTATTAATTTTTAAACATCTGCAAAAAAAAAAATTGAATTAGTTGATGTGATTAATTTAATTCCAAAAACAAAACATTTAAAAATAAATTTATAACCAATAATAAAGAATTGACCAAAAAACAAAAAATTTCTCCAGAAAAAATAAATAAATAAATAAATTATTATTATTATCGTTTAAAAAATTAAACAAAAAAAAAGGAAAAGAAGGAAAAACATAAAAAAAAAAAACGCACCTTAATATTTTGTGCAAACGTAAAAAATTCCTTCCTGGTCAACCTGTTGAACGAAGCTAATTTTTAGCTAAAAGAAAAAAGAAAAATTTTCCGAGAATTTAAACAAAGAAAAATTCAATGATGATAATAATAATAATAAAACTTAACGATTGTAGTTTATAAAAAAAAAAAATCAACACTCGAATTACCAAAAAAAAAAACAGATTTTATGATGTTGAACGTTTAATAAAAAATATATTTTTTAATCTTTTTCCTTTACTACCACTACCACCACCACCACCACCACCATCATAATTTTTGGCATTCTAATTCCAGAACCAGCTTCGTTCTGGATTTGGAATCTGCGAAAGGAACAAAGACTTGCGCAATTTTTAAAATCCAGAATTATTTTTCCTCTCTTTTCGTTTTTTTTTTTATTTAATGTAATTTCATTTTCTCGCTATATATTTTATCCCGATACGATTCCTTTTTTTTTTTTTTTTTTTTTTTTTTAAATAAAAATTTTACATTAAAATTAAATTATTATTATTATTATTATTATTACTAAACTTGATAAATTTTCATTTCAATTTATTTTTCAATTCGTTATTTCAATTTATATGTTAAATAAATTTCTTCTCCTTTTTTCCTTATAAGATTAATAATAATAATTATTAATAATAAGATTCCAAAAAAAAAAATAATAATAATAATAATAATAATTTTTTTTCTATTAAAAGATTTAAATTAATTCGATCTTTTAAATATATATAGAAGGGTGAACTTTGAACTTTTAAAAAAAGAATTTTTTTTTTTTTAACATCAAAAAAGTTTTTTTTAGTCAATTGAGAATTCAATATTATTATTATTATTATTATTAAAGTATAAAATTCAAATTTTTGTATTCCCTTTTTTTTTTTTTTTTTTTGTAACGATAGAAAAAATATTTAATTACAATTAATAATTAATATTTTAAATATTTTTTGTTATTAAAATATTTGGATAAGTTTTTTTTTTTGTTTTCCCAAATTAATTAACATTTTAATTAGAGTTATTAATAATCTTTTTTTTTGTAAAATAATTAAATAACAATAATGTAAAAATGTTATTTGATAATTTTATAATTATTTTGTTTATTAACTTAAAAAAACAAAAACAAAATATACTTATGTACATAAATATTTGATATTTAATATAATTTAATATTTAAAATGAATACAACAAGAAGGGGTAAGTAAGGGTTCATTTTTTATTTTCAATGGTGGTAGTAACGGAGTCACGTGATTATAAAAAAGCGACATCCTTGACACAACGTATAAAATCGATTTTATTAAAAACAAAAAATCATGTCTCTTTTTAAAGCTAGAGAATGGTGGGAAATTAATTTAAATGAAAAAGATTGTTACGATTCGCAAAGTTTGTTAATAATAAAACTTCATTCTGATGATTATCAAAGCGTTATCCTCGGTAATCACAAGGGTTTTCTTCGTTTATTTTCACCCTCATCGAAAATTAATGACGGACTCATAACAGGTTTTCAACCGTCAAATTTATTATTGGAAATTCAATTGTCATTCCCGATTCTTCAAATTGATGAAGGTTTTTTAGTTTCGTAAGTTTACAATAAGGTTATTATGTTTTGAGGTGCTTTTCACAATGCAGCCTTTTTTTCTACACACGTTTTTTTTTTTTTTTTTTTTTTTTTTACACAAAAAAAACCTTTCGTTTGAAAATAAAATAAAATAAAATTTTAATATTTCAATTACAAATGCCTTATTTATAATTTTTTTCTCAATTCGATATCATTTATTTAAAGAAAAATTTATAAGGAATATTTATCAGAATTATTTTACTACAGTACACAAATAAAATTTAATAAAAGAATCTCTTTTTTTTCCCCCTTTCCTAACACCATTTTACTACGATTGGCAAGGATGATATAAAAATATTAAATAAAAAAGATAAAATTATATATATATATTTTTCTTTTTCTTTACCTATTTTTAATTTTTCAAACTATATCTCCAGATTCATCACTTTCAAATGGCACAACACATTCTTTTGACATGTTTGAACTTGTAAGGCAACTGTCATTTATGTAATACAAATGGTCACCATCACTTTTTTGTAAACTTTGTAAAACTTCTTTATTTTCTAACATATCTAAAGGTAACTCTTCCACAGGTGCTGCATTAGACAAATCTTCTTTTACTTTGACTGATTTAAACTCTGACATTTCTAATAACAATAATAACAATAATTATTAGTTTTTTTTATTTCGATTTTAAAAAAAAGTACTTTAAGTAATTAAACCTCATGAAATAATGAAAAAAAAAAAAAATTTTTTTTTTACTAGTAATATATATATACACTACCTGGTTGCTTGACTACAGTTTCTTCTTCATCTTCTGAAGATAAATGTGTGTTGTATGTTAACTGCTGTGGAGGAATGTTGAAATGAAAAATACAATTTTCATTTGGAAATATATGTAGAACAGGCTCTTGGCATGAAGAAACACCCTTATTAACTCCACATGCTCGAAACAACATTTGATGTGTGTCTTGTAAAATGTGTTTAACACAATATTTTGAACATGGCAATGTTTTTAAAGCACATTTCACTCCCCCCTCTGTAAATATACATTTCGAAGAGGATGAAGGTTTGTTGGTCATTCCCTCAGTGGCTAAAGTTCTTCTTTCGATTGCTTTTTTATGTAAAATTGCTTCCACGCCATATCTTTTGTGATAGTGATTAAGACTTTTCAATTTTTCATAAAGCTTTTGCTCTTTGACAGTCTCTCTGGGTTGATTAGCTATCGAACACAGGGTTTCTTTTTCTTTTTGCAATGCATGAACATAATCTCTTCTTCTTTCTTTAAGAACATGTTGAAGTCTTTTAAATTGTTCTATATACAGTGTCTGTAGTCTTATTAATTTCTCTTTGGTCCTTAATGCCACTTCTTCCGGAGTGTAAATATTAGCATGTTTAAAAATATCTTCTCCAGAAGAATCCACGCTTTCAGCCTCGCTTGAATCTTCATCTTTAACCCTTAGTTATGAAAAAAAAAGTTATGATAAAAATTAGAAAAAAGTTAACGTTTTGCTTATTTTGTAAATAATTTCTTTTTACATAAAAATACTGTTGGCTAAAAATTATACTCAAATCGTAATTTACAAAAAGTGGCAATTTTCATTAATAATTATATTAATAATGAAAAATTAAGAGATAAGAAATTTATAATATATATATTATAAATTATATAATATATATAATATATTATAATATATTAATGTAATATATTATAATATATATTATAAATTATAATATTTATATTTATGTACATATATATATTTATATCCCGATTTAAGTTAGTCGAAAATTAAATTAGGCAGTTAATAAATTTTATAATTTTAAGGTACTAAAAAAATGTTCCTTAATTTATTCTAATAAAATTATAAATTTAAAATATTACCTGGTAGTTTTTTCTACTGTTGTAACATCAACATCAGAATCAGACTCGCTACAATATTCTAAAACTTTATGAAGAGAATTATTTATTGAAGTTGCATTTATATCTACAAATGGATTGAGGCACTTGGTAATCAGAACATTTTCTCTTTCACTGGTATCTGAAGTAATTTCTTGAGCTGATGAAGTATTTTCATTGTTTTTATCATCATCTAATTGATTTTTACCCAATGATTGATTTTTTTCGGCATCCGATACTTTGGCGTAGTGTGATATGTTTGAGAGAAGTCTTTCTTTTGTTATTGGAGGCTGAGGAGTTCCTCGATGCTTCTGATGCCGCAATTGAATTTTTCTAACGTGTTCAACACAATAACTTTCTCTACGTTCATTTTTTTCACCTTTCGGCGCAGGAAGTGGGCATCTTCTGCCCGTAACGGTATATATGTAATTACATTGCTTAAAAGGAGCGTTTTTATCTTCTAATATATGGCGCACGCAAAGCGAATAATTTTCTAAACATGGCTGCGAACAATTGTAGTGCTTATAGGTACAAGGTTCCGAAGAAAATTTTAGCAACGACTTCTTACCAAGATTTCCCTTTGGTGGACGGAATGTCATTTTACTTTCAACGCTACCGTAAAAACTGTTACGAGCTTCATTACATAAAGCAGAAAATTAAGAATCAGTGTTGCCAACATTGGAAAATAAATTTACCTGTGCCGCCATCTTGAAAATTTTTGTTTTCACTTATTCCCACCATTTTAATTTTTAAACCTCATATTAACGCTTTGCAAAGTAAAAAAAAAATTAATTTAATGTTTTAAAATTAAAGGAAAAAATTGTGGTAAAAATAAAAAAAATATTATTCATTAAGAAATTTTAATAAAAATTATTTTTTCAATTGTTTTTGTAATTATTTTTTTTAGCTAAAATTATTTTTTTAAATTTTTAATACTTGAATAAAAATGAATAACCGTTGATTTTAGGGGATCTCGAGATAAACAACTGGCAGTTCTACATCCGAGACTTTTCTCCGTGTACAGCATTAAAAAAAAAGAAAGCAATGAAACTGAAGCAGGTCACCAAATCGTAACAGAACTTATATATCAGCATTCACTACAACATTCTGCACATTCTTTTACTCTTGGATATTTTGGAGGTGTCAAAGGTCGCCATTTTATCTGCATTCAATCTTTAGACGGACTCCTATCATTTTACGAACAAGAATCTTTTGCTTTTCAATTATATTTGCCTAATTTTGTTATTCCTTCATCATTTACTTACATTGAAAAATTGGATTCCTTTTTATTTTTGAACGGATATCTAACAATTGATTGTTATTCCTACGAATCTCTGGCTTCGGCAAGTAAAAATAAAAAAATATGGAAAAAATGGGAATACAATTTAGGAGAAAGCATAATAGGGTTTCAAACGGTATCAAAAAACGAATTGATAATTATTATTTTATCTGAAAGAAATTTATACGGTCTCAGCGAAAATGGAAATCTTACATTCACAAAACGTTTGGAATACAAACCTTTGACGTTTTCTTCTTTTTTAACGGAAGAGAATAAATTAATTATTGTTGTGGCTACGGATGCACAAATTATAAATGTCTACGAAGAAACAAAATTAAAATGGTCTTTTAAAATTAGCCTGACACCAGTTTGCATTCACAGAATATTTTTGAATCAATTACCAGGAGGACTTCTTCTCTTGTCCGAAGATGGTTTACTTCAATGTGTTTACCTGGGAACGCATCCCTCAATTTATGTCGTGTCTCCATTACACGAAACCGATCTCGATTTACAAAATGCAGAAACAGAATTAAAAGATCTTCAAAACAAAATACTCAGCAATGATTTAACTCATCCATTACAAGATACAATTAATATAAATGTTGTAATTGACAAAACAATAAAACTTTACGATAATATAAAATCATGCGATGTTATAATAACAATGGATTCACAATTTTTAATAAATAGACTTCATGTATTAATTAACGTGGATCCCCCATTACAAGCCACTCCCTCAACAACATTCTATCAAAATTTTTCAGGAAAAACAGAAATAATAAGTAATATTTCAGTGAAAGGAATCGAAATACCTTGGAATTTAGAAATAATGATAATAATTTCATATACCACAAAAGAAGGTGTTGGAAAATGCATAACAAAAAAAGAAATTTTACCATTAAATCTTGTTTTATCAGAGGGTAGACCCATTAAAGAATCCCCCCACAAATTAACATTCACAATAAATAAACCTTTGATCGACATAAATCAATTTTTTAAAGGGATATTAACGGAAACGTCAGGTACGAACGCAATAGGATTAAATTATTTAAATTCGGAGGAAAATGACATAACAATTCTTGCAGCTAAATTTTCCAAAAGGTATCGCCTTCAGAGTGAATCCCTACCATCCCTATCACTCCCGATATATTTAATGATAAAAAAATTACAGAAGCAATATGAGAAAAATGCAGATTTTAAAATAATGTACTCGATGCCTTTACCTCTAGATGCCTATAACGAAACATTAACGAAACATAATAATTTATATTTAAAAAGAAAATGGTTGGAAGAAAAACTATTGAAAGAAACGTCACAGTATAAAACAATAATAAAAAAAATAATAAGTAATTATAAAGATACGACGACGATTGGAAAAAATTCAAAAAATTTTTCTAAAATGCTCGAAATGACATCGAAACAAGCATTGAATACGATGAATGAATTGAATGATTTGGAAAATGAATTAATTAAATCGAAATCCGTTATAAATTCATTAAATCAATTATTATCGATTATTCTCGAATCTATGACGTATCGCGAAACGAATGGAAATCTTATTAAAAACGTATTCAATTCGAATATTTACGATTCAGACGAACAGGTATGAAAAACAACTTTCCCTCCAAAAAAAAACAAAATGAAAACTAATTTTTCTATAAAATTTTTAAGGGTTGGTTGGAAATTCAAGAAGCTGCCGCATCATTTTTCCTAAGGGAAATATTAACGAAAACAAATAAAGAAAAAGAAAAACATTTTAAAATTAATTTGGATACCATGAAAGATACAAATAAATTAACCAAACATTTATCGACTTTTATCGATAGAGTTTTGAAAAATATACAATATCAAGGTAAAACTCAATTTCAATATACAATATTATCATTATTTATTAATTTTTCCCTCCCCCCTTCCCCCTTCTTTTTTTTTTAAATCCGCACTCATTATTATTATTATTATTATTATTTTCAGGTCCGGAAATCAACGTCGAAGATGAAAAATTTTTCAACGATATTATCCCACCCGGTACTAAATTTATAAATTTAAATGAAAATCCTTCCCCCCCCCCCAACGAAATGAATAAAAAATAAAATTATGGATGACGATGATGATGATAATAAGAAATCATTTTTTTTTTTTTAATAAAAATTAATGCTTTATTATTAATATTATTATCATTATCAATATTATTATTATTAATTTACGGGAATATCATATTTCAGAAAAATATAATTACAAATACCCGATTTTATTATTATTATTATTATTATTTTTGTTATATATGGCTGTAAAACCTCCTTCACCCCTCGACATATTTTCCTTTTTTTTCAACCGTTATTTATTTCCCTTCAAATATATATATATATATATATTAGAGATGTAAATTTAAATTTTTTTCCCGCCAAAAAAAAATCCTAAAGTAACCGAATTTTCTACATGTATTCCCGATTATTATTATTATTATTATTATTATTTTCCAATCTTTACAATAACGGTTTTTTCCTCTTTTTTTCTTTTACGGAGGTTTTACCACAAATGAAAATAAATAATAATATTTATATTTATATATATATATATATATGTATAGTGACGTCATAAAAAGACATTGTACTGCTTATTAATTTCTTCTCTTGTACGCACTTTTTATTTATTTATTTACGTAAAATTTAATACAAATTTTCCGCCTAAAAATTTTCTTTTTTTTCCTTTTTTATTTTTGTATAGATTTAGGCATTTGAAAATTTTTTTTTTTTAATTTATTATTATTATTATTATTATTATTATTATTTTTTGTAAAATTAAAAATCATTTTCATCATCGTGAAACAACCAAACAAAAAAAAAAAAAAATTATTAATTTCTATTTATTTCCACACACAAATTTAAAATGAAAATTTATTTGCGGAAAAGTTAAAAAAAAAAAAAAACTTAATAACAGAATAAAGAAGAAGAAAAAGAATAAAGAATAAGAAGAAGAAGACAAAAAAGAACGTTAAACAGAGAGAGAAATATTTTCTTTCCTTCCTTCCTCATTTTTTTCGTATCCTCCCCCCCCCTCTCTCTCTCTCTCTCTCTCTCTCTCGTTCATCGTCGTACCTTTTCACATCCATCTTTGTAATCTTTTTTTTCTGCAATACTTGATTAAAAAAAAAAAAGAAATAATAATAATAATAATAACAACTACCATTATCCGAGAGTTTCACGAGTATGAATTTTCTTTCATTTTTTTTTTTTTTTTCTTACAACAACACGCCGGACGGGGCGGGAGGGAGGGGATTAACCGGAGCAAACCTCGGAATGTTCGTCCCAAGCGGTGACCTGAAAAAAAAAAAAAATAATAATAATATCAAAAAAATGTCAACCGAAGATCCCCGGGGGCGGTGGTGGGTGGGTGGGGAGAGGGAAAGTAAAGGGGGGGGAAAAACAATCACCTGGCAATTTCTGCTGCAATACCATTGATTTCCGCAACCTGCGCAAACGAATTGCGCCGATTTCATGTGACACCCTTGACATTCGGGTACCGTTTCGCTATCTATTTCTTCTTCATCTTCTCCTCTAACTTCTTGCTCTTCAGATTCATCAATGACTAGTCTATCCGCATTATCATCAGGATCTTCATCCTAAAAAATTAATGATAATAATAATAATGATAATACGTTAATATTATATTTACGATAAATTATAATCAATATTTATATGTTCGATCCATGCGATTATTATTATTTTTACAAATCATGCTTATTATTATTATTATTATTTTGTTTTATTTTCTTACCGATGCGTTTCCAACATCCTCTTTTATTTTTGCAGGCTGTAGATTAGAAATAATTGGAGTTATTGTGAGTTCGTTTCTATTCTGAAAGTTCAAGAGTAAAAAAAAAAAAAAAATTGTTATATAAAACATTTTATCCCATTTTGGAGGGAAAACGAAAAAAAACAACATCATCGAAATGAAGAGTAATTAATTCCCTTTCCCGTGTAAATAAAAAATATTGAAAAATTGAATTCTTTACCTTTGAGGTAGATAATAAATCGGCAATCGATACGGGACCGGAAGCCAATCTGGACGCAGTCGTATTTGTACTACTTCCTCTGAGAGCAGTAGTGATGGTTGTAGACAGCGAAGATCTATCGGGAGTCGTGAGGAGTCTAGCCAATGTCGGCGAAAAACTAGTACTCTTTGAATTTCCTTGACTTTCTCCGCGTGCGCCGACGTTTCCGTTGTTTTTCGTTAGAATACCATGCAATAGAGACGATGAAGGATTGGGCGGTGATTGTGCGCCTGCGGGTAATACTGGATGTAGTGTCACTTCTGGATAGGGAGGCGCTTTTGACAAAGCCTGAGATTTATTTGAAGGTGTTGAATTTCTCCTGTCTCCCTGTTGGTGTTGTGACATTTTTGCAAATTGGACTAGGACATCTTTGAAGCTGACTCCGCTTGCTGATGCTATCTCGGTCGGAGCGTTTGATGCACTCCGATTGGAATCCGTACTCGAAGGACGAGATGTATCTTGGGCATTTTGACCCATCGAACCCGGTACGAGCTCTGGATTGGAATTCATCGTTCGAACCTGAGCTCCCGAACCTAAAGCCAGAGAGGACATGCTAAGGACTCCCCGCCCGGAAGACACCATTGTTTCAGCAAAATTTTGCGAGGGTTGTCCTTTGGGACGTCGCCCCCTTCGTGGCACTTGCTCAGGATGATTCTGACGATAGTCTGCAATTATTGATTTAACATCTACGATAGGTCCCTGTCTACCGATCGGTGGACTGTGATTATTTACAACATGGTTAACATTTTGATTTGGCTTGGGTAAAATTGGTACGGGAACATTACGATTATTAGCAGATTTTAACTTATCACGATCCGGTACGGGAATTTTTAGCGGCGTTCCCACGTGAGAGCGCGGCAAATAAGATGAAGAGGAAGATATAGAAATAGGAGTGGAGGACACGATAGGCACCATCATAAGTGAAGTGTTTGGCTTGGGATGATCGGAGGCACCTTGGGGTTGCATTAGGAACCTTTGCAAATTTTGACTTGGACTACTTTGGCTTTTGGTTATGGTTAAATTAGATGGGAGGCGTGGAGGAGGTTTAGGCGATACAGAAGGAGCCACTCGGTTAAAAGTAACTTCATCGCTTCCCACAAATTCTGCCATTCGATGATCCGAAGCAAACTCCCAATTTGCGGGGTCGGACGTGCGACCGGGTCCTCCCATCGACAGAAGCATTACCTGTTTTCTTCTAACTAATCTCAAATAAATCTCTTCTTTCACCTTTTTCAATCGTATAATATCATTCCATTCTAGTTCTTTTGCTCTCGCTAAAGCACTTAAACTGTGTATTTCTTGCTGAAGTTTTTCCGTATTCATTTGTAATTCTTCCAGGCTGGATCCACTCGCTTTTTCCACGTAATCGCTAACTGTTCTTTCGCGGTCTTCATGGTCGATTTCTGGGAATTTTGTACGTTTAAAATTATATTTATAACTTTCCTCGCTATCCGTGCTTTTATTACTCCTCTTTCTGTTTGTTATCGGTTTAGGCTTTTTTAATTTGTCTACACTGCTTTCTTCTGACACACAATTCACTGAACCTACATTATTAGTTTGGCACTGTTCTACTGAAATACTAATAATTTTATTGTTTGAGTAATGCTTTTCATTTTGTGATGTTTTTGAAACGTTTTCAAAACTTGGCGTGCAAGTAACTGTGAGATCATGAACCTCTGAACATTTTTCTTTCTCCTTCTCCTTCTCGTCAGCATCCAAAGAATCTACTTTTCCATCAGGTTCCTTTTTAACTTGAACAGTAGTTAACGTCGTGGTAGACGATATATGAATTTCTGGTTCTGTAACATCAATATTTATTATTATTATTATTTTAGATTTTATGACCTTTTGTCATAAAAATATCACCCACCATCAGGTTTTTTATCGAGATCTAATTTTTCTGACGACTCTTTATTTTCATTTTCATTTTCTTTTTCTGTCGTCGTCGTAGTCGTCGCCGCTGTCGTCGTCGTCGTCGTCATTTCCTCATCATCTTCAGAAACTCCGTTAATTTTAGCTAATGGAGGCGTTGTAGGAGTTTTCGGTTCTTCGACGGGATTTGCAGAAAGAGTTTGCAAAGTTTTTACAACAGTATTTGCCTTTTTCGGTAAATCAGGTTGAGTTTTTGGTAATTCTGCTGCATCGGCCGTAACCTTAGCATTCCCTTCCTCCATGATATGCATTTTGTTTAAACTGAAACAAACAAACAAACAAACGAAAATTATTATTTTTTTTCTACTGTTTTTCTACTACAACAACCTTACACAGCCTTGTATATTGCAAAAAAAGTAACTTTAAAGCTAATAACTTTATAATCTAACGCCCATAGATAAGAAACAAAAAACAGGAAAATTTAAATATTTTACGATGCACTATAGTAAAATACAAAAAATTTTTTTTTCTAATATTTATATTAATAAGTCAACAAACTCTTTTTTTTTTTTTTTGCTATTCGAATCCCTTAATGCAAATACGGCCGACAAAATTGGAATTTTTTCGAGGTGAGAAAGCAAACTTAAAATTAACATAAGAAAAAAAAAAAAAAAAAAAATTAAATTACAAAACAAAAAACTTAAAAAGTTTCAAACATCTGTTGGTTTAACATTAGGCTCAAGACTTCTTATTCATATCAGCTTTTTTTTTTTTTTTTTTTTTTTTAAAAATATAGGTCAATCCGTACAATTAAAATCAAGGCCGGACGACGATGCTATAGTGCAATACTTTAAATATATTTTTTTTGCCCTTCTGCAAAATATCAACTCCGTTATTATTATTATTACTACTACTACTACTACTACAAAGACAAAGTATTAAAAGTGTACATTCAATCAATCAATCAATCAATCACCCTCGCGTTTTTCTAAATGTAAATTAATAAAAAAAAAAAAAATTCTTTTCGTTTGTGAGAATTTGAAATATCACAATCACCTTTCGCCCTACAATAATCACTACAAGAGCTTAAATAATGATAATTTTTCCACATCCTTTATATCTACACGCACTCACGCACACGCACTCACGCACACACGCATATATATATATTTTTTTCTTGAAAACCAATCTTGTAATTTTCCATTTAGATATTGTATCGTTTTTCTTTTCCACCGAAAGTTTTTTATTAAAAATAATTTCCGCCGATATTAAAAAAACATTTTTTTCTCGAGTAATTGATTGATAAAAATTCAACATATACATATTGTTAGTGTACAAACATTAAACACGTTTCGATATCATTTTTTCATTTTTTTTTCCTTCCATATTTGTACGTAATTCCATACATGACATAAATCTAACCCACTCATTTAAAAACGTTATCATAATTCATCGACCAAGAAAGATATCAACGACGATGACGACGATGACGACGACGACTAATACCAATGAAAATAAAAACGCGCCAAAAACGATTCGAATCATTTTCACGTAAATCGAAAACCTCTTTCGTTAAAATAAATTTAAAAAAAAATAAGTAAGTAAATAAATAAATAAATAAACTTGCCATGAACGTTGAAAAAAAATAAATAAATTTTAATTAGTATTCTAATTAAATTAATATTCACATATCGCATTTATCAATAAAAAAAAAAAAAAAAAAAACAAAAATGTAATGTATTTGTTGATTTTATGTTTACATAATTTTTCGGGGCCCTTTTTTCTCTTTCTCTCTCTCTCTCTCTCTCTCTCTCTCTACTCAGAAAAAGAATGTTTAGAACGCGAAGTTTTCAAAATTTTTTTTTTAATCGTTAGTTTTTCGAAAGCAAATTCACGCTTTCATTCATTCATTCATTCATTCATTCGTTCATTCACTTATTATTATTATTATTAAATATAAAATTTTTAGTTTTAAATTTTCGAAAGGGATTTTAGGGCCTGGCGCCTTTTATACGTTTTTAAAATTTTGGCAAAATTAACATTTTTTTTTTTTTGTTATCGTTTTACCTATAATAATTGCAAATATACAACAGATAAGGCAAAATATATTTATTTATATTGATGATAAAACTAATTTTTTTTTTTCTTTCTTCAAACGTTCATTTTTTTGGAGAGAAATAAAAAAAAAAAAAAAAAAAAAATGACTCAAATGAATGACTCACAAAGATTCGATAGAGTGAATCACATAAAAAAGAGAGAAAGAGAGAGAGAGAGAGAGAGAAAGAGAGGATTTTAAATAACGTAAACCCGAATGTTAGTTCGAAAAATGAATAAAAATTTCTAACTCGTGTGATATAATAATAATAATAATAATAATAATAATAAGGCCGAATCAAATCAATAAATCAATTACATAATTTTTGCGCCAAGTAAACAAACTTTAAAAAAAAAATCACATGTAATCGTTTTGCATCGTTTAATAAAAAACTATTAAATTTTCTTTTTCTTTTCATACAAATTTATCAATACAAACAAATAAATAAATAAATAAACGATGACCTCCACACCAAAACGGCATAAACTTTTTTAATTGTTTAAAAGTAAGAAAAAATTCTTTTTCTATTTTCACAAACATTGAATGACATTGTGTGTCACAAACACAAAAACGTTTGAAAATCAACTAAAAAAAAAAAAAAAAAAAAAAATTTACGTCCTCATAACCGAGGACTTGAAAGAAAGAAAGAAAAAAAAAAAAAAATTCGTAGCAATGTTACGAGACTTTTCATAATGTAAATAACGACCATAATAATAAATGGATGACTTCGTTTTCTTCGACCATCGCACGTGTTTTGCTTCTTTTTTTTTTTTTTTCAGGCTTATTTTGCAAGAGAGAGAGAGAGAGAGAGAGAGAGAGACCAAGAATAAAATAACAAGAAGAGTAATGGAAAAAGGATAACAAAACCTTTTTTTGGTCACATTCAAAACAACAACAACCTCCCATTAATTTGCTAACTCCTCCAAAAAAAAAAAAAAAAAAAAAAAAAAATTTTCTTCTTCTTCTTCTTCTTCCTCTCCTCCCCCACTCATCATTTCATTCTTAAATAAAATAAAGCCGACATTTTTTTTTTGGACCGGACCCGAATGAATACATTCCAATTGGCAGGTACTACCTGTCAATGATTTTTTCTTCTTTCTATCTTTCTTTATTGTTTTGGTAGGACTTTGGTAATTTTTGTAATGTCAGCGAAATCGTTAACGTGACCTTGACCGCTCTTTTCTTCTTCTTCTTCTTAACAAATTTTTTACTACTACATTTGACTACCGCAAAATAATTTTTTTTTCCATCTTCTTCTTATTATTATTTGTTCTTCGTCCTTCTTTTTAAAACTTCGATAAAACAATCTAAAGTTCACGACCTTTCGGCGTCCTTCGGAAAAATTTTCCCTTTTTTCTCTCTCAACATCTCCTAAACCCCGATTGTTTATCGAACAAAACCTTTTTTTCGGAATCTATTTCTTATTACTTTTTTGTGTTCTCACACGCGCACGCACACACACGCAATTATTTGTTTTAACGATTTCTTAAACTAAGCCGATTGATTATTAGAAAAAAAAAAAAAAAAAAAAAAAAAAAAAACTAAGCTAATTTTCGTTTATTATTCTCACGTTTCACGGCCTAACCCGAAAGCCTATTTCGAACGAAACGAAACAACACTTTGGAAGGAAGGTCGACGATCATTGTCGTTCTGCTACCACGACCACCACCACCACCACCACATCTTTTATCAATTTTTTTTATTTTCCCTCCAATTCAGATTCAAATGAATGACAAAACACGCGCGCGCGAAAAAGAATCGCGACAAACGCACCATTTTTTTTTTTTTTTTTTTTTAAATAAAAATCTCCGTGTGGGCATTCATATAAACTAATCATGGCATCAAATGGATTTAAACAAAAAAAAAAAAAAAAAAAAAACATTTTTCTTCGAAAAAAATGAAATAAAAAAAAAAAAAACCCTCTAAAAAAGAACCCCACACCACTCGTCAGTGTCGAAGGATTTTTATATAACGATTCGAAAATTGTGAGTTGAACGTTCTCTTTACGATGCAGCTGTTCATCTTTTTTCTTTTTTTTTTTTTTTCTCCTTTTTTTTTCGTTTCTCATTTTTATACCTAAATGCATAGGCAAAAAAAAACTCAAAGGTTGTTCCAAAAAAAATTTAAATTAAAAACATAATTTATAATGAGCCGGTTTATATTAAATCGATCTTTGTGTAAACAAAACGTACGTTACATGTATTAAAATAATTAAATAAATGAATGATGACGTCACTCACGACGACATTGCAAAATTACAACGGGAAACGAATAATTAATTTTTTTAAATAAATAAATAAATATAAACACGAAAAGGTTTCCATTTTTTTTTTTTTTTTTTTCTTTTAAACGGAAAAAACACAAAACTCATTTTAATTATTACAACCCTCCCTCCTTCCCCCCGCCCCGTTTTTTTCTCGCTCTCTCTCTCTCTCTCGCCCACTCGTTAAATTCAAATTCGAAAACGTTCGAAAATTCGTTAACGGTAGAATCAAATTTTAATTAACGTAAAACAAACTTTGAGGTTATGTATATCTTATTTTATACGTTTTACCGCATTTCTCTCTCTCTCTCTCTTTTATTATTTTTTTAAATAATAATAATAAAAAAGCAAGCATTAGAGTATGATGACATTTGAAAATTGGCAAAAAACGTTGAAAAAAAAAAACGTTAAAAAAAAGAAAAAAATGTTTTCTTACGTCCGATTAAGAATTCTCTCTGATTCATTGGCAAACATTTACAATACGGCGAAAAAGCTTAATACGAAATATAAAATTAATAAATGATTATACGCACACAAATTAATTAATAATCAAAAACTTACGATTTAAATAAATAAAATCAACCGGCCAAATCATCCAATTAATTAATTAAATTTAAAATAGCAAAAAAAAAAAAAAAAGACGCGATCGAATTCATATTTGCAATTTTTTTTTTTTTTTTTTTTTTTTTTTTTTTTTTAGCTTTTTCTTATGACGACGAAACGTTCGTAATCCGTAACGTTAACACGAAGAAAGCCGATGTCGAACTGGCCGTCTGGCGGAATTTAATCGAACTAATCACCGATTCTTCCCTTCCCTCCCTTCTCTCGCTCTCTTGCCTTCCCCACTGCGATTCCTCGCAACGAGGTTATGAACCTTCTCTCCACCAGGAGTTGCACGAAGTTCACAGACCTACAGCGAAAATTTCGTTTTCTCTCTTCACAATCGTTTAGTTCCTGCGACCGACGCTCTTCACCCCTGCGTCGTCGTCGTCGTCGTCGTTCCCCTCCCTCCCTCCCCCTTTTCAAAAAAAAAAAAAAAAAATTGCTTTCCAATCTGAAAATTAATACTCGATGATGAAAAGAAATTCACAAAATTTTATTTAAAAAAAAAAAATAATAAATTTTTTTTCTTTTTCTTTTTTAATTTTGGCAAATAACGTTTTTGTTCGATCAATTATATATATATAAATATATATAATTAATTATAGATTTAGATATATATATATTCTATTCAACAACCAAAAAAACAAAAAAGAAAAAATCCTCTTATTCATTTCATTATTAAAAAAAAAAAAAAAGTAATAAGTTATTGACTGTATGAATAAATAAATTATTCAGATTATGAAAAAGAGAATCAAATCAATCGATAGTAGATATAATAACGTACAAACTTAAGAAAAAAAAATAAAATAAAGGTAAAATTTCGCAAGGAGAAAACCATAAAAAACGGTTTGGAGCCCCCCTAAGAAAACAAAAATTTTTTTCTTCTTCTACCCCTCCCTTCCCCCCCTGAAAAAAAAAATTCTACGTCATGAATCCCATTTCGATTTCGACAGGACCCCGTCAATTTCCAAAACGAAATCAAAATTTATATATGTGTATATAATTTTTTTTTTTTTTTTTTAAAGGCGAAAAAAACAAAAGCTAACAACCCATTTTTTTTCGAAATTGAATGAACGTTTGTAAACAGACAAACAAACAAACAAAGACTCGTACAAACAAAACCGTACGGATTTAATTTTATCAAACCGAGAGACGATATAACAAACAACAATTCGAGATACGTAAAAGATAATGAAAATGATATTATTATTATTATTATTAGACGTTCCCGGGGGTAGGAGGGAAGGCTAAGGAGGAAGGGGAGAGGCGAAGGAGGAGGTACCAAAAAAAAAAATAAATATAACATCTTCCCTTCACACACACACAGTTCAGGTAAAAAAATAAAATTTCATCCCTCTCCTCAACTCATAAATCCAATCTCGATTAATAATAATAATTACAAACAATTAATTAAACAAAATGGGGTGGGGGGGGAATTCCCTTAAATAGTAATAACTTGATTGTTGATGATTCTTTTTTTTTGAAACCGCTTTGATAACCGAGAGTCGTAGGTGCAAAAGACAAAAAAAAAAAAAATTATCGAAAATAATTCTTTATAAGAAAAAATATATATATGTATACTTCGTGCTCGTCCCCGAAATGTTTTTTAAACACACACACACACAGATTTTTTTTTTTTTTTTTTATTACATTTAAGAGCAATGACCCCCCTGTCAAGCGTTGTTTCTACTTCGGATAAGGGTCAACGAACCCTAGGATAGACTTCTCAGAGGAAAAGGCGACCTTTGACTAAACATGGAAACGTGCCATTTCCACAGCGTTCTCGCCTTCGACTCGAGTTTTTTTTTTTTTTTTTTTTTTTTTTAGGCCCTTTCAAGCCTGTCAAATTGGATAATCAGCTTTTCACAATAAAGAAAAAATAATAATAATAATAATAATAATTCTCTCTCTCTCTCTTTCTTTCTTTTCTTTACGTATAAATACATACGTACATACGTAAGTACATAAAATGGAAAGACCTTTGATATACAAACTTTAATAAAAATAAAAACTTATCATCGATTTTTACTATATAAACAGACAAAAATGTCGCAAGTTTGAGTCAAATATTGTCGACAATCGACAAAAACCGTTCGTCACTTAACTTTGCATTATTTTCGAATTTGATTTTTGATTTCGGTTACATTTTTCACAAATGCATTAACAAACAGGTTAAATTTTTTCGCTGCGTGGTACACTATTGAGTTTTTTTTTTTTAAAATGATGACGTAAACGAAATAATACCTTAGGGAAATCAATTGTTTTTATAAATTAAATAAATTTCCCCCTTTCCCACCTTTCTACCTCAAAGTTAAGGCAAAAACGGTTTTTTTTCAGTACATTACTAATTACCAAAACTAAATACTTTGTAAAATACTATTTTAATTAAATGGAAAAAATGGAAAAAAATGGAAAGAAAAATGAAAAAAAAAATGAAAAAAGTAAAAGTCGAGACTTACTCATTGTTTTCCTCATTTCCTTCATCATCCTTTTTGATGGGTGTTAAACCCAATGCCAACAGCAGATTCGTCTCGTGCTGTATTTCCGGTTCCGGAGATTTACCATTTCTTCTCTCGTAACTTTCATATTTTTTCGTTTTCTTTTTTTTACGTATCGGCCTTTCGTTAACGTTTAATTTTTCTTGTTTTAACGGTCTTTGTTCCGTGGCAAACGTTTTTTTTCCAAATGTTTTTTTTTTACATTTTTTTTTCAACGGTTGTCCGTTACACTCCATTTTTTTCCCAGTGTCGTCTCCCATCATTTCTCCACTATTTTTCTTTTTTTTCTTTTGTTTAAATTTTTTTTTATTATTAACGTTCGATAATTGCTTCATTATTAAATTTAATTTTTTTTTATTACGAACCACAGCCACAGCCACGGACGACGACACCACCTTCGAGTTTTTTAATAATAATAATAATAATAAATCCAGTAATTTTAATTTTTTTAAAAAAACCTTTTCGAATCGCGTTTTTTTTGTTGTTTTTATTTTATTTTTTAATTTTCTTCCAAATGTTTTCCGTTCATTTTCTGGTCGTTTCAAACAATCGAAAACAATTTTCCAAATTTTATTATTATTCCATGTATGATTATCGATTCCGGGGATAACATTTAATAATTCACTATTTCCATACCCAAGAGTATTAATCCCGCGGGTATTAAACATTCTAATTATTAATTGTTATTTGCGTTTTGTTTATTCGCCGTCCGACATTTTATCATTTTTTACATAATAAAACTAAAAAATTTCCCTTATTTTTTTTTTTTTTCAAGTCCCGTAGTATTTCATTCTTTATTTAAATATATTTATACATACATATACTTCTCTATTTATTTATACGTTTTTTATTAAAATAAATAAAATCCTAAGTTTAAAAAAAAAAAAAAAAAAAAAAAAATTTAAATAAAAAAAAACAACCATTTGTCCCTTCATATGCAATTCTTCTTCCCTTGTTGTTACCTTTACCGACCGGTTATAATGAATAATCAATGAATAATCAATAAGTAATCATTTCGACCAAAATTTTTTAAACTCGAAACTACTCACTACCTACTACACCACGTTCAGAAGACAACAACAACAAAAAAGGAAAAACATTTTTTAAATATGATCTGGTCAAGAGTTATCATAATATGATTCACCATATATATAATGAAAAGGTGAATGCAAATATTTCAAAAAAAAAAAAATTTTTTTCGACATTTTCTTCAGAAACCTGAACGAAATACTATTGTCGATGTTTGCAGACACACAACCTGAGTAGTTTTCCTACGCAATTGGGATGAACGAGGTCTCTCTCTCTATCTCTCTCTCTCTTTCTTTCTTTGAGAGTGTTTAGGACCTTGGCTAATTTCAGGCAACAAGTTTTCAAGGCTGCCTACTCAATGGAAGATTTCGATTAGGTTCTTTTCTTTTTTTTAAACAATTTAAATTCGTTTTAACACTCTTTTTAAATAATAATAATAATAATAATAATAATAATAATAATAATAATAATATTATTATACAAAATGTCATAATGACTGACCGATAATTTGAAAATCGGAAAGAAATAAGGGTTCGTTCGCGCCAAAAAAGTAATAATAATAATAATAATAATAAATTATAAACGATATTATTTATTTATTTAAATAATATTTTAATTGATTATCTGCAAACGTTTGTTTTTAAAATTTTTTGTTCTTTTCTTTGCCTGCGAATCTGCACCATCAGAAAGAAATAATAATAATAGTAAAAGTTTCAACCGTAAAAGTTTGAAAAAAGTATTAAAAAAAGTTGTACAACAGCCTCATGAAGATTACTCCAAGAGAGGTAAGAGAGAGAGAGAGGGGGGGATGAGTAAAAACAAAAAAAAAAAAATTATTTTGAATTCGATGATGCCATTTTTCTCAGAAACGCATCATATATGAATGGGGAAACGGGAGGAAGGGAGGGGAGTGGAAAGAGAAATCAATCGAACCTTATTGTAACGATAAATGGAAAACACGTTGCAAACCATGAGAAATTCAAACACACAAGAAAAAAAAAGTGAAAAAGGGTCAAAAAGGGTCAAAAAGAAACCTTTGCCATTTTGACTCACAGTATGTGTATCATTACATGTAACTCATTCTGACGGAATAGGAAACCGTTTCGCGATCGATTTCAAACGTTTATTTATTATTCAAAAAAAAAAAACGATCATAGAAAATGGTTCGGGGACCCATTCATCAACAACAGTTTAAATAATAATAATAATAATAATTTAGCTCCCGCGTAAATGACATTTGCATTCATCAATTTGTAATGGTACTTATTTTAAGTCGTAACTTAAAAAATTTCTTTTAACTCGTTCTTCTTTTATTGTTAACGATTGCAAAAAAAAAAAAAGTGACAATATTAATTATATACAAAATCACTTGACAATAATTTAAAAAGAAAAAAAAAACTACTTTTCTCCTCGTTATAATTGTTCAGTTTTTTTTTTTTTTTTTTCATTTAAATAAACGTAAAGTAAATAAAATCGCCATCTTGATAATTTTTCAACCCCCCCCCCGTTAAAAAACCGGGGTACCTTAAATCCTTACTTATCAAACGAGCGAAATAAACTTATCGCAAAACAGCATAAAAGAAAGACGAGAGAGAGAGAATAATAATAATAATAATAAAAACGTATTAAAACAGGATGAAATGATGAACAATGAAAATCCTCACTCTTTTGCAATGAATCATAGATAGACTCGACAAAATGGAGAAAAAAAAAAAGAAAAATCGGTGGGGTTGGAAAAAAAAAGAATGAAAAGTACGAAAAGATTTTTTTTAAATTCACCCTTGACGAACGTGAAAGACACAAGTGAAAGGCATTATTATTATTATTATTATTACGTGAAGGCAATTCTACCATGTGATTCAGAGAAAAAACCGCACACAATTTTTGGAGAAATAGAAAAAAAATCAAACTGGAAAAATGGATAAAAACGACAGATTGTAATAAAAACGATGACGTCATTCATCGAGAAAAGTTTCCCCTGATCGCGAAACCTTTTTTTTTTCATTTTCAAATATGGCACCCGAATTTTTTAATTAGAAAATTTAAACGCGCGAATATATTTAAACGCAAATAAGAAATGTGCGTGTGTGTGTGCGTGCGTGCGTGCGTGCGAATATTCTGTAGAAATTTAAATGCCCTGTTTTATCACGCGAGGAAACTTCTCGAACTAAAATAATTTTTTTTTTTTAACTTAAATTTTCGAATTGTTTTCAATATCCTACATGTGTCGAAATTATTTGGACGTTGGAATATTTTAGACAAGAGAGAAAGACATAAAGAGAGAGAGAGAGAGAGAGAAAAGGCAGCAGAAGAAAAAAGAAAGAAAGAAGACATTTTTTTGCGCTTTATTGCATTAAACCACTACCAACGGTAAAAAAAAAAAAAAAAAATCAAGGATGTTTACGTTAGCGCGAAATTTCGCTTTTTTGCACAATAAAAAAAAAAAAAATTTGCTTTTTTTTTTTTTAGCCAAAATGGATGAGATCGGGGGGGGAAGGGGGTGGAGGAGGGGGAGAAGAAGAAGAGTTAATTAAAAAAAAAACGACAGGAAGAAAAATTATAATTACGCGTAAAAAGGCGAAAAGGGAAAATAAAATACGTGCGAGTGAGTTTAACCAATAATATATATCGATCGATAGAAAAGGAAAAAATGATAACCGGTTCTTTGATACGGCACTGAAAACATTCATGGGTTAATGTAAAAAGGGGAGCATGGCTGGCTATGCTATGAAGTTTGTAAAAATTAAACTTTGCCATCATCACACACAATATATAAATATATATTAGGAATTACATAATGAACAACAACAACAACAACAGTGTACAGGTAGCATACACGCATACATAAGCATTCACAAGGACAGCCTTGAAACGCGATTCCGTCACTTGAGATTTTTTAAACAAATTTCTTTTTCCCCTTCTCTTCTTGTTATTAAACATTTTTTTTTTTTAAACAAAAGCCTTTAACACTTCGCAAGAAACAAACAAAAAAACCTATGATAATAATAATAATAATAATAATAATGATGGTAACAATCGGGAAAAGAAAAAAAAAAAAAAAATTCAGGTTTTACCTTAATATTAATAATTATTGGCACGAAAACACTGAAAAACGCACACGCACACACATATATATACGTATACCCAATAACAAACTACAGGAGAACACAGCAAAAAAAAAATATTAAATTTCTTATGTGCACATATACGCGCGCCCGTGTGTGTGTGTGTGTGTATATATTTATATAAAAAGGAGAAAAAAAAAAAAAAAAAGAAAACGCACACGCACAAGAATATTAAAAAAAAAAAGCACCACTGACACCACCACCACCACCGAAACAGTTCAAGTCGTCGAAAGGGGGCGCCGTACAAAATTCAACTTCCCCTCATCCTCTCTCTTCTCTACTTTTTGGGGTTTGTTCACCCTATAAGAAATCAAATAAGCGCACCCCGCGACACATGAACGCTCGCACATTCGGCCGACGCCCCGCCGAATCAAAAGCAACACACGTCTCAAGCCCCGTCGAACGCGACTGAACCCGATTCTCTTCTCTCCTTCGCATTCCCCCATCTCCCTCTCCTCCCCTCGTACTCCCCGCGTCACTACTTCGTCCTTCCTTTCTTCTAGCCATTCAATACGCTGGTATTATGAGAACAAAATGACGTCACACTCCGCTTCCATTTTACTCTATGTTCTTTTTTTTTCTTCTTCTCTTCTCTCTCTCTCTCTTTTTTTTTTTTTAAATTTACAAGTTTCGAAACTTCGTTTTGTGTTTATGAGCCTTTTTTTTTTTTTTAACGCTAAAAATTTTACCTACTTTTAATTTGTTTCTCTCCTCTCCTTCCTCCCTCCTCCCTCTCTCCCCATCTCTCTCTCTCTCTCTCTCTCTCTCTCTCTCTCTAATTAACAGCAGAGAAATTTGGATTTTCAATAATAAGCAACGAATTTTTATTTTTTTGATAAACCGCGTCCTTTTCATAAAAAAAAAATCGTTCGTTAAAAATTACAAAATGAACGCAAATTCGTTTGCAAAACGTATTCCTTAATAAGAACTAAATCGTTTTTGAATAATCGATCGATCGATAGAACGTAAAATAAATTTAAAAAAATACCTTTTAACGGCCAAAAAAATATTTTAATAAATTTATTTTTTTTCCCCACATACTCACAATCCAAAAAAAAATCAAAACTAATTTCGACGAATCGTTATTATAATTATTATCTTTATAAATT